GGGGGGTGGGGTGGGGAGCAGGGGGAGCGCTCGTCTGAGCCCAGATTTCCTTATCGGGATCTGAATACCAAGGGTCTGCCAGATGTCAACCCTGCGAGCGAAGGTGCAATCAATGAGCACCCTTGCATCCGTACTTTGCATCAGATCCTGGTAACATGCATACCTGTTCTTCCTGCAGCTCTTCTTTTAGCCTTCTTCAGAATCAGGCAAGGTATTTGCAACAACGCGAGGTTCACGTCCTTGCTGGCAGCCGCCACAGCTCGTTTTTGAAGTACTTGTTGAAACTTTTTGCAAATCAGTGCTTAGCTTTCTATGCAATAGATGGAGCCTCCCGAGAATGCTAGGGGGGGTGCCTGCTCTTATCAGCACCCCTAGCATCCACTTGGGTGTTAAAAAAAAAAAAAAAAAAAAAAAAAAAAAAAAATTTTTTTTTTTTTTAAATATATTTATATGCCTTGTTTTTTTTTTTTTTTTTTTTTTTTTTTTGAAGTTCCTAGCTTTCTATGTTTGCAAGGTCAGGGCGGAAAGGAGGCAACACAAAACGCAAACGCATACGATGAGAAAGTCCAAAAAACTTGGCGATGCATGGGTGCAGTCGTCGTCTTGCCTGTTTCTCAAGCCTTTCTTGTTCACGCTGCGCTGCCTCCTGTTGTCTCTGCTTCTGCACTCATTATCAAGGACCGCACATACCGTTTCGGAGACAGACGACCGTCAGATGGGACGGGAGAAAGAACGGAAGAGCCCTGCGGCAGTGCACGCAGCCAATATGGCTTAAACCACTAGTACACGGCCCCGGCCTTGCAGTCCGAAACTTGTCACCACAAGAAAATGAGGCGGACACGTCAAACGCTGGGCCTGCTGTTGATAAATTGGATCGGCGGTCGTGTTTTCGTTTCGCGCTTCCAGAATTTGAGGTGTCAGGCCCGCGGCCCAGGTGCCCATGTACTGGTGCTTTTGAGGGTACACAATGCATAGTGATACACACATGAAATCGTTCCTCAAAAGATCATGAGTTCAATCAGATAGATACAATAATGTTGGAGGCTACCCCTTAAAAAAAGAGAAAGGGGGGGAGGGGAGGAGAGAATAATCCCATGATCAAGGCCTAGCTCATCAGACGGTACGCCCACAAAACTGTTGAAATACAGAGCTGAGCTTTGATCTCTAATGACTTGATTTGACATATGGCTAACCTTCTTTCGGTAAAAACTCGCTCTACAAAATGGTATTTTGATTCTTGAACTATTTTAGTATTTTCATTTTGGAATTTTAGCTGAAAAAAACTTCAAAAAAGTGACAAAAGTCCCATAAAAAAAAACAGATGGATTAAATTACTGAAATTCTTGAATTACCTGGGGCCGGTCAGTCCCAAGTTCATATAAAAATAAAAAAAATAATAATAATAATAATAATTATAATATATAATATATAATAAATTATAAAATTATATAAATATTAATAATAATAATATTAAAAAAAAGTCAAAAAAACAGCTTTGAGAAGCTGATTATGAGAGGTCCTTTGATGAATGCTTGCTTTCATTCCTCCCAACCCTCAGGAGTGAAAGATTTAGAACTAACAAAAAGTTTTCAAAACATGATGAGCCAGACACTCTTTAGTTGAAGTGGAGAAGGGGCATGATAATCGGCCCACTTCAACAGAAATCTTTCTCAGCACAGGTTTTTTTCCATGGCTACGCCGGACCCGGACCCGGACATTTCCGGACATGGAACTGGACCCGGGTCCGGTAGTTTCCGGACGTCCGGAATTCCGGACATTTCCGGACCTCCGGACATGGGGGGGATCCGGACGGTCCGGAAGTCTGGACAGGTCCGGAAATGTCCGGACCATTAAAAAAAAAAAAAAAAAAAATCTGAAAAAAAAGTATGTTATGCAGAATAACAATGCAAACCACTTTTGCCTCAGAGTCATGTCAGAATTCCTAACCAAACTTGAGTTAAAAGCCAAAAACTATAAAAAGCTTAAAAAAAGACTTTAAAAACTAACAAAAGGTAATGAATTATTAATAATAAAAAAATTGGGGTTGTCTAATAAATTACTATAGAGAGAGAGCATGTCCGGACCCCCCAAAAAAGCATAAACGGGCCTGAAAAAACCCCAAAACAATTTTGGGGGCTTGGCTCCTCAATGGGGAAGGGTCCTGGACCGTTTTTTTTTGTTTTTTTTTCTCGAAATTTGCCAGATCCGGACCTTCCAGACCGGACGTCTGGATTCCGGACTGAATCCAGACCGTCCGGACGGCGGTCCGGACGTCCGGATCGTAGCCATGGTTTTTTCAAAAGGCCTCTCTGGTCATACGCAGTCTTTACCCGAACAGATCGTACGGTCACTATCGCCGTATCTAGACTGACACTTGCCCAAGACACTATACTGCAATGACGGTGTGTTCTATTCGGGGGGAAAAAGACTGTAGACATTGTCATTGTCATGAATTGACTGCAAGAAATATCGTCGCATGGAGGGCAAGTTGTATAACAGATGACCAAAAAAAAAACAGGATCCACAGATCACCTGCCTGACGCTCTCTTTCAGCAGCCGCTTGCGCCATGTCTTGTGCATATCGCTCTGCCGCCATTTGCCGTCCTTTCCTTTCTAACTCGGCTTCCTGTTCAACATTCATTTTCATTCGCAGTGACAACAACAACAAATGGACGGCAATCATTGCATCATCATTATTATTGGGTTGCAATCATTGCATTCATCATGTGAGAAAAGCCTAAGCATCTCTTGATTGCAACAACTGCAATCCACTAATAGTGATGCAATGATTGCACATCTTAAAAATTAAAATACAGATTGCATTTATGTGAGAGAAACCTAAGCATCTTTGCAGTACGGATTGTCCACAAATGGTTAACAGGTACCCCCACTTTTCACCCCTAGGGTAACCTTCACCACCCTGAAATGTGCAGTGGGGATCATGTTTTTTTTTTGTTTTTTTTTTTTTTTGCCCTGTTTTGTTTTTGGTCGAGGTTTGTATACAAACACCAATTTTGGTGTGAAATATGGTTAAAATGGCCAATTTTGGTGTTTGTTGGGTTCCTGGAGATGGTTGTTTTGGGGAGTGGTGAAAATTGTGACAACCGACAAATTGAAATGTTGGTGAAATTTCATGAAAGTGCACTTTTGGCTTGCTGTTTTATATGTTTTTATTTTCTTTTTTCGTTTTTTTTTTAACAATAAGTTAGTAAGAAGTGCACTCTATAGATTGGTGTGAAATATGGTTAAAATGGGCCTTTGGTTTTCTTATAAATGGGGGTGAAAATTTGGGGGTCGGTTAACCTTCTGTTGAATCCGTTTGGATTTTATTTATGCAAGTGAGAAAAAAGTTGAAAAGTTGAAAACCCATTCCATTTTATTTTTTTATTTTAACAAACTTTTCTTTATTATTAGAACTATGCAAGAGAAAAAAGTCATAAGCATATCGGAATAAAGTTCAATAAACACAATGGGTTTCATTTATTTTCTCTTGTTTTCTTTTTGTTACGCGTCTGGCTGGCGGCCGAGGGCTTGAACCCTGGACCTCATGCGGGGTACCAGTCCGTTCGCTTCCAGACTTGTCACTGGTACCAGACACAGCTCGGGATGATTTTGCATTTCTGTCCCCCCAACGTTCTCCACCTATTGCCCTTCTACTAGTAGACTTATGCTGGACATACCCCTGGGACCAGCCGAGCTGTTAAGCCGTTTCCGGGTATATGTGTTCCGGTCACACACACATTCGTGTGAGACACCTCGTGCTGTACTTGAGAGTTGAGACTGAGGGATACCGATCTCAGCACTGACATTTCCGCTACCGTCTTCACCCGAATAGAACGCCCGGTCATTATAGCTGCATTTGGCCCAACTTTCAGTCCAGATGCAGCAATAATGAAAGGGCGTCCTATTCGGGTGAAGACGCCAGTACTCTTCTCGGAGCATCCATTCATCGTCAAAGTCGAGTCCCGCATAGGTGTCCGAATCACGCATGTGTGTGCACTCCCTCCCTCCCTCCTCCTCCTCCTCCTCCTCCTCCTCCTCCTCCTCCTCCTTCTCCTCCTCCTCTTCATCATCATCATCCGCCGCCGCGTCCGCCGACGTCACCACCACCACCGCCGCCGCCTCCTCCTCCTCAGCTGGATTGAGTTGTTTTTGTTAGACTTCTGGTTTAACTTTACGCCGAACATGCAGGAGCTTGCATCGTACTCTGTCCGCTCTTATTTTGTCCCCGCCAAAGGAATCAGGCAAACTAAAAAACAGTGCTGAGCGGTGAGTCACCGGGAGTGAAATCCTACGACGAAGACCTGTGAAGCCGAGGCGGCCCTTTTTTTTTGTTTTTTTTTTTAGAAAAACTTTCATTTTCATTATAATCCTGGAAAAGGGGCTGGCCAAGCCAAGGCTGCCTGAAGTCGCTAGTACATGTCTCATTTTCATTACTTGCAGTCCATTAAAACCCACCAGTACTTCCTAAATTCGTGCCCAGCCACGGTTTTCCCCTTGCACAACCCGTGACTTCCCTCCACACAGAGCTGGTCCAAGTGAGATCTTCAAATCTTACAACGGACAACTGTACACACGAGGCTGTCGTTGGTCCCTTGATGTCCCATTTTCATAATTTGCACTCCCATAGTCCCATTGGTTAGGTCACCTGGTCCCGTCTGCTGGCAAGCAGCAGCGCCACTTGTCCTGTCAATCACCATGCTATATCATCACACCTAACGAGGGGCTGTGACAAACTGTTTCGTCGGAGTTTTCTCCATATATATTGTCACACTGTGAATCAGAGCGCGAAGGCGAAAAAAAGCAAAACAAGGAAAAGGGAAAAGAAGGAAGGAAGGAAAGCCCCACCTGTTCATCACCTTTTACATACAAGGCCAGACACGTGGATGACAGGTTGAGCGCTGGCTGCCCCCATCCCCGTGTGTCACAAGGATCCACTTGCACGCAGCCAAAAGGCAAAAAAGAGGTAAAGAAAAGGAGGAGGAAACCAATTGCCACTGTTACAACAAGGTTCAACATATTCTTTTATTTTATTCTTTCTTTTTTCTTATTTTCTTTTTCTTTTCTTCAGAAATTTGTACTTTTTTTCTTTCTTTTTTTTTTTTCTTTTTGTTTCAATTTTTTTCTTTCTTCTTTCTTCAACTCCACATCTGTTGCTCCTGATCGCTTGATTCTATTGATCAGTCAGGAAGAGGAGCCCCCACCCCGGCAGATAGGACAGGCACGCTGAGGATGACATGCATGTTCACAAGGATGCCCAAGGAGCGCTACTTCAGCACAGCATCCAGCAGGATGGCTAGCACGGACCATCCCATCAAAACAGTCCTGCCAAAGGACATGCTGTCCACATATATATATATAGATATATATATATTGTCACAAACAGAACTGCCCGGTAAACCCTAGGCAGAGAGAAAGAAGAGGACAACAAACGAGGGGCTGTGACAAACTGTTTCGTCGGATTTTCACCAACTCATCAGGAGGCTAACCCTCAACAGTCTGCAGAATCCCCTCACTGATTACACTGTAAATGATAATCTACCTTAACCAAAATCAAAGTAGACTATCACTCACCCACACCAGATGGAAAACTCTACAGACTGTAGGTTCACACCCCATCACAAGCCAGCAAAACATCCACGAAACAAAGAAAGGTCTGTCACAGCCAAAAAATACACTCCAGACACGCCGCTGGCACTAGAGGCACAGCATGGCCGCCTAGTAACGGCCCCGACCACTGCCGCTCGACCTGACCGGAAAAAACCGTAGCAGGAAGCTAGCGAAGTCGTAGCATATATCGTCTATATATATATATCATCATCATATCATTCATACTAACTTCATATCAAACCCCGAGACATTCGGGAGCTGGTGCCGCTCAGCAGGAGTTGATGAAAATCACCCCAAACCCCGAAGGTCATGGCGCAGGTATGGTGAGGCAAAAAGAAAACAAACAACGTTCGGAACGTGTACTGGTAACAAGGACAGGTACATCCAATCCTCTTTTGCACGAGGAGGATCCCTCCTGTACGGGAAGCAAGCTTTGCCGAAATGCCAGCACGGCGTTTCTGTTCTAGTTTTGGCCGTCGGCGCCGACAGCCATTTTGATCGACTCACCCCGCGCCTCCGAACTTTTCGGAGAGGCTCCATCGTGATTCTCAAGTTGGCTAGGGCCATGTAAAAAGGGGCTCACCCCCATTTGGGTTAATAATCTATCTAGTATCTACTTAGCCCACTGAAGCTCTCATTACTGATCCACTGAGCTTGCCGCCTCAACCAAAAAGGGTCAACCAAAAGGGTGAGCCGAAAGGGTTGTGAAAACTTGCGATCAATTCTAAGTTAAGTTAGTTAACAAAATTGAAGTACCTAATGAAAGTGTGCTACTACATAATAAGTGTCATGTAGAGCAATGTCAAGACCAGAATTAGCTAATACAATTCCAGTAAATTTCATTCATTCACGCGGAAAATGCACAGCAAACTTCATGCAGAGAATTTCAGACACATAACAAACAAGTTAAACAAAAACATGATTTTAATTTCTTTAACAGTTTGAAAATTGAATATTACTATAACCACAAACAAAGGAAATCGATCGGTAACACCAACCTCCTTAGCCCGCTGAAGCTCTCGCATTCTCAACTCTCCCTGCCATTCCCTGTCACGCTTGACTTTCAACAACCTCTGTAATCCATCACAATTCCCAAAAAAGTGAGTTCAAATAACAAAGGGGAGAGAGAAGAGAGGGGGGGGCGGGGGGGGGGGGGGGGGGGGACTCTGTGGAGGTATCAAATTCCAGTAGGTGAGATAAATGTTGTCCAATGACTCAAAATTGAAACTAGTCAAAATTGAAGATTCTCAAATTTTGAACAACGAGCCCCTGTTAATCTGCAATGCCTCGAAATCCTCTGTCATTGACGACGAGTTTCCCAACAAAACAAGGGAGGGGAGTTAAATAACGGAAATGGGGGTTTAATACCGTTGCATTGAATTACTAAGTTACTGTGGGTGAGATAAATCATAAATGTCATCAAATGCCTCGGATTTCTCGAAATGAAATAACGGCTGAGTGGGGATCCGGGCCGCCCGGGTGACAGGCAGGGGCCCGGGGGAGGTCCCGGGCGGCCTGGCCGGGCAGGGCACCCGGTTGGGGGCTGGGCCCCCCCAGCGCACTCACCTGCAGGGGGATTTCAGACCCCCTTTCGGACCCCGTTTGTGTGTGTGTGTGCGTGTGTGTGTGTTTGTGTGTGTGTGTGTGTGTGTGAGAGAGAGAGAGAGAGAGAGAGAGAGAGAGAGAGAGAGAGAGAGAGATGTGTTTGAATCATACTTGCAGCTCATGCGCGGGGTGCCGCGCGCACATGCACGCACACACAAGTGATGCGGCGCATTAAAAAAATAGAAAAACAAAAATGTCCTCGTTGTGTTCAGCCTCTTTTCGAAAGGATCCCTAGAGCATATTAGCTAGGCCCCGACGTCATGCAGAGATACACTTCAACCTTGTACTCCCCGAGGGTGGCCAGAGAATATATAGTCTGGATTCGAATTCAGGTCTGTGCATGTCGGTTATGGGTCACCATTTCTCTGTTTTTGCGCTTTTCTTTTCTTTTCTCGTTTTTCTTTTCTTAGGAATACGTGCAGTGGCCCTAAGGGCCTTTACTCACCAAATGCACAAAAGACAAAACATATGGTGGCGTATTATTCCACGTTCTGCAGAAGATTCATTCTAATTTTGCACATTTCGTGAGTAGTGCAGTCAAGCCCTAAGAGTCCCGTGCAGGGACCAACAGGCCCTAGCTACGTGAGCAACCCCTGTCTCTTATACACATCTAGATGTGTATAAGAGACAGGTGTTAGAGAGAGAGAGAGAGAGAGAGAGAGAGAGAGAGAGAGAGATGTGTTTGAATCATACTTGCAGCTCATGCGCGGGGTGCCGCGCGCACATGCACGCACACACAAGTGATGCGGCGCATTAAAAAAATAGAAAAACAAAAATGTCCTCGTTGTGTTCAGCCTCTTTTCGAAAGGATCCCTAGAGCATATTAGCTAGGCCCCGACGTCATGCAGAGATACACTTCAACCTTGTACTCCCCGAGGGTGGCCAGAGAATATATAGTCCTGTCTCTTATACACATCTAGATGTGTATAAGAGACAGTGGGAACAACCCCTAATGTTATTGGAACCCATCGGGATTTGAACGCGTGATGTATATATTAACACTTGGCTACACGTGTACAGTTCAGCCACCAGGGCAGCAGGTCATGCATGGTTACTTCTGCTCTTGCTGTCACTGGTTTTGCCCTCGATAGCATGGTTATGGTCTCTCTCCAAGCTGAGCAGCTGAAGCTGCACTACATGTTCCCTTTCGTTTTTTTTGTTTTTTGTTTTTTTTTTTTGKGGGGGGGGGGGGGGATGTGATYTTGCCCTTCACGAGACSCCACCCTCCCTCACCGGGCAGCAGCAACAATGGGCATTGAATMAAAAAARAAAAAAAAAAAAAAGAAAAAGAAAGAGAGAGAGAAAGAAAGATGCCACCCTCCCTCTTTGAGCCGATTCTCCCTGGTGCACCCCAACTCCCTCAGTCCTACCTCAGTGTCTACCACTCAGGACAATCACCCTCTACCATTTTTCGGTGGGGTGACCTGACCGGACAGCAGTTGCAGGCACCAGCGCTAAGCGGGCACCCCACTCAGCTCAAGTTGAAGCATATATTCAAACGACCCCTGTTGTGCGGGTACTTCGGGTGCTAGGCAGAAGCATTCTCTCCACGAGCCCCATGGGTAGACCCTAAGTGCCCCGTCGTGCGGGTTCTTTGGGTGCTGGGCATAACCATTCTCTCTACGGGCCCCGTGGGTTGGTTGACCCTAAGCGCCCCCCAAAGTTCCGTACCCCGTCGTGCGGGTACTTCGGGCGCTGGGCATAAGCACCCTCTCCTCTCTACAGGCCCCATGGGTAGGCCCTAAGTGACCCCGAACGTTCAGTACCGGGGTCCTTGTAGATGTCTAAGCATTCTCCCCGAGCTACCACAGGCAGTGCCTAACGACCACGCCCAAGGCGTAACCCATTTGGGCAACAAACTTGACGTCGTGTGCAATGAATTAGAAAGTAATGGACACCAAATAATCTCTCCAACCACTCAATTCCGATTCTCAATAAACTGTCGCAACCCCGTGAACCTACACAGCAGCTGAACAAGCTTCAGCGAAGAAAGTTGAAGAAATGATGATATGAAGCATGTGCGTGATGACGAAGGCCGCGGGAAACGGAAGCAATGAACGAACAGAAGGCGTGATCATGCACCTACCTACCTGCTCACAAGAATGTGAGAGCTGGAGGAGTACCGATGTTCAGGTGACGGCATTTTTCTTTTTTTCCATCCACACATCCAGCACTTTTGCACACTATTTGACTCTCTAATAGCCCTTCGCGCACAACGTATGTTCCTCGACTATTATACCATGACGGCGAGAAAAAACACAGCACAGTAACCACATGTATGACTTAGAATTCTACCAACAGCTCCTCAGAAATCATTTGATAGTACCTACCACCCACCCCCAGACAAAAAGAAGAAATGTTCATTAGAAACAAGAAGATTTTCATGAAAAGTGGTGGTCCCTGTTAAGTGGATGGCAAGCATACAATGTGGAGTACCCCTGATCTTCACAACTGACAGACAGACAAAGGTTTAAATTTGAAACCTGGGGCTGAAAAGTGGTGGTCCCTGTTAACCACTGGTTTGCCTGCTCACCAGTTCTTCTTAATATGCGCTATGTTTTGGTGGTGGTGGGGGTCCCCATTAACCTGGGGCTGAAACGTGGGGGTCCCTGGTAACCACTTGTGGAGGGAGGGTGGTGAGGGCCGGGGGGAGGGGGGAGGGGGGGGCCGGGGGCGGCAAACCTGTGCTGATCCCATTTGGATGCTGTGAGCGTGGATGTCAGCATGACCGACAGGTGCTCCATAGCTCTTGTGTATCTCCCGCAGCCAGCTGCAATGAATGGAATGCCTTCGGGAGGTGACGGTCATTCGTTGACGTGACGGTAGTCCGCATCTTGACAGGGATGTCTATGTCACCGAGTCTCTCTCCAAGACAGTGCCCACATCGTTACACCTTCCGTGCCGGTCGGAATTTACCCGACAAGGAATTTCGCTACCTTAGGACCGTTATAGCAACGGCCGCCGTTCACCGGGGCTTCGGTAACAGGTAGACAACCATTGTCAGTGGCAGACTTCTCCTACCCTACATGTCCTACCACCACCTTCTCCCGAACATAATGCACCCCATTACACCTGTAGAGGACCGGAAAGATAGCTCGTATACACTCACGCCCGGGGTGTGTTGTGTGGTGCGCTGTGTTCGGGGGGAAGGTAGGTTCTAGGAGCCTCCTTTGCCACGTTCAGGGCAAAGGGTAGGAGAAGCTAAGGTTCACAAACTGAGCAACAAAAAGCCAGCGATTCAAGATGAGATGACGACCATCTCTTTCACCTCCTCCTCCTCCTCCTTCCTCATATCCAGGGTGCGTTGTGTTCGGGGGAAGATGGAAGGTAGGTTCTAGGAACTTCCTTTGTCACGTTCAGGACCAAGGGCAGGAGAAGCTGCAACGAAAAGCTAGCGCTTAAAGTTGAGATGACGACCACCTCCTCCTCCTCCTCCTTCCTCATATCCAGGGTGCGTTGTGTTCGGGGGAAGATGGAAGGTAGGTTCTAGGAACTTCCTTTGTCACGTTCAGGACCAAGGGCAGGAGAAGCTGCAACGAAAAGCTAGCGCTTAAAGTTGAGATGACGACCACCTCCTCCTCCTCCTCCTCCTCATCATCATCTCCAGGGTGCATTGTGTTGGGGGGAAGATGGATAGTAGGTTCTAGGAGTCTCATTTGCCACATTCAGGACAAAGGGTAGGAGAAGCTGCAAGTTTCACATACTGAGCAACAAAAAGCTAGCGCTTAAAGATGAGACGATGAGTCGATGACCATCACATTCCCTCCTCCTCCTCCTCCTCCTCCTCCTCCCACCCCTCCCCCTTCCCCTCCCATCCTTCCTCTGCATAATATGTCCCTTTAGGATCCCAGTTTATATAGCATTCTATTACCAAGTTCAGGAGAGAAATGGAGAGGACAGAGCATCCCTCGGGGGCATCCGTTTTTAAAATGAAATGATACAGAGAAGATTAGCATGGCCCCTGCACAATTAGAAAAACGTTTCTAAGCTAGCAAGACACTACTCGACGTAACGACAGACGAAATGAAGATGACAGTGCACTCACTCACCTCCTCCTCTTCCCTCTGCTTTTCCTTCATGAGCTTCTCTTCTGCTTCTTGTGCAAGCCTCTGCAATCCAGATATTGACCCCCAGAACAAAAAGAAGATATAAAAGTCACAAAGCCATTCAGCAAATTGGACCCTTCCGAACAAGAGAAGGGTATTTCATTCAGCAAATCGGGCGGGCCCTTAGTACTCCTTGCAGAACTGGAAAAGGGTAACTTGTGGGGATGCAATCTTGCTGTGTTATGTGAGGGATCAATCAACAAGCATCGTACTGTTGAGAATGCTCAAGAGTGAAGCCCTTTCTTTTGCCGCCACTCCCCCCCCCCCCCCCCCCCCCCCCCCCCTCTCCACCCTTTTCACTCCCCTATTGTTGCTTGCATTTTTTCTCTTCCCCTCCCCCCCACCCCCCCCACCTATTGTCCATGCTCACCTGAGAATCAACAGATTCTTATGGAATCATTTGTATGGACTCCCTGTGGCCTGAAAGTGACTCCGCTTCTTTTTCCTTTTCTTTTTCTTAAACTACCAGTCCGTTCCCCAGATATTTTGTTCCGACATGCCTGTTAACCCGCCGCAAAATCGCGGGTCGGGCCTACCAGATGGAGAAGGCTGGCGTCGCCAAGCAAATAGTGTGCCTCACCGGTTTAGCAGGAACGCATGCGGCAACGGACTGGTGGGTATCATTCATCCACACGGGCTCAACCTGAATGTTACACCTTTTCTAACTCAATGGACCATGGACCAGAGTCACCAGGTATCGAACTTGTATGATTGTATCAGCGGAAAGAGAAAAAAAAAATGAAAAAAAAAAAATATAAATTTTAAAAATATACACATCAGATATTAAACTGAGCAAAACAGAAAATAACTGCTCTTGAAGTTACCTCAGTAATGTCTACTACTGTTTTTTTAACTTTTTTTTTTTTTTTAATACAAACAAACACAGTCCCTTCTATTCTGGAGGGGCACCAGTCTGGTCACTTATCAGCAGCAAGCAAGCGAAAGACAAAATGTTTTTTATCCGTATTTTTTTTTTTTTTTTTACTGTTTTACTATTTTCAAATCTTCAAATTTTCATCCTTCAGCCAATCGGAACATGTGACACAACAGAAACGAATAATGGTTGTGCAGGAAGAACCTCAAAACAATCAACTGAGTAAGGGTGGCCGACAAACCGTAAAGCGCTCTGCTACCTGAGCGTCAAAAACAACAAAGAGGTTTAACACATTTTTGTTCAAGTCAACTTCAAAAAAAAAACAAAAAAAAAACGCCTTGCAGTTGCACAGCCAAACATTTTTGAAATTTGACTACCGGTAGCATGCATGTTTGGCGGTGTGAGACATCCTCGAAAGGTGTTCTCGATTTCTGTACAAGTTTGTCCAGTTGTGAACCCCTTGTGGTATCACATGTCCTCACAACGGGACGTTGTCCCGGAACCACGAGCTTTTGCAGACTCATGAAAAAAACTGTCTTTGAGATAACAAGAAGCATTGCGGCAGTCGGATTGTAAACGCAGCAAACTTGAGCAACACAGTAAAGCAAGTGAAATCCATACCCTCCTCTTCATCTCAAATGCAATGAGCTGGTCAAGCTCCCTCTGCTGCCTCATTCTCAGCCATTCCAGCCTTTTGGCCTCCTGTACATGCACATGCCCCCACCCCCCCCCCCCCCCAAAAAAAGGGTTCAACCTCCTGATGAGTCAGTAAAGGTACGACGAAACAGTCTGGCACAGATGCATTTTTGTTTGGCAAAACTGTGTACAGCGCACACGACAACACACACAGGCTGTTTCAATTTCGGATCTGCGCATCTGGGTGGGAAAGGAGTGGTTCTGCTCACACACACACACACACACACACACACACACACACACACACACAGTTTGTTTTCTTTTTTAAATCACACTCGCACGCACACACACAAACACACACGCGTGCGTGCGCGCACGCATGCACGCACGCACGCACGCACACACAGAGAGAAAGAGAGACAAGGATACCACAGATGCATGCACCAAAACTATGCTGCCCGACGATAGGGTGGGCCCCATGACGTATGCATTGCAAAATTCCTGAGAGAAGTTGGGAAAAATATGTCACAGTCTGCTGACTCTCAGCAAAATTATGCATAGAATCAGGGTAACCGGCGTTCGGGACAGGCCGAACGCCCGAACCCGAACGCCCGAACATATGGGACCCCATGTGGATGCGTTCGGCCGTTCGGGCCTGCAAGGAATATGAGTGTGAGCGATATACATAAAACCAAGTTGCGAAATCACACAGCTGAGCAAGTAGCAGTATCCCAAGTACAGAGTACAAATGCACCAAGAAAACCATCCATAAAGAGCAATACAATGAAGTATTGAGCCAATGTCCAAGCCCGTAGGCCACACCAACACAGTATCCAGAGTCGCTCTCTCTGTCTGGCGCACAGCGCCCAGCCTACTCTACCATACTATCCTACTCTACAGCTGGTTCACACAACAGGATCACTTCGGCTCACGAAGACCAATAAACATGACTGTCAACACCATCGGCGACCTCTCTTCATGTACCAGGTACGTAACTCGTCACCCTCAATCAGACCTTGATTATCCCACACAGCGCCTCACTCCCTGAAGACCACCCGATCATCCGCTGTACCCCCTGGCGCCTAGCAGCCCGGCTATGGCCGCCTGCGCCCCGCTGCCCTGCAGTGCCCCACTTCACCTCTCACGCCCCGTCAGCGCCCTTGGCAGCAGTGCCGCATCAAGCGAGAGCGCAGCAGCACTTCCGCATTGCCAGCACTGGCCAGAATGCCTGGCCTGGGCTGCCTCACTTCCTTTATGGAAGTGGCAGCCTGCTGCATGCTGCGTGTGGCCTGGCTGGAAGCTTCCAGTAGCTTCCGGTTGGGCCTCAGACCCTGTGCCCAGGCCAAGACTTACAGTTGAGGGCCTGGGCCCTTTACAGTTGGGCGCGGCCTGAGTCTCCGGACTTGGGCTCTTAGCTGCATCTGCGCAGGGCCCCCAGGTAGGTGCGTTGGCTGTACTGCTTTTCCAGAGGCCGACAGCCTGCGTCTCAATGTATCGGCCCTGCTTTGTGTGTAGGTGCCCAGGCACAACTTTCGTGGCCTGGGCCAACTGTAAGGCGCAGCTTAGTGAGGCTCGCGCGTTCATTCAACCAACCGACCCGCTGCAAGAGCCTGAATACCCACATATGGAAATGTCGAATTTGGCCTGTGATGAATATTCAGGCCCGCCTTCACTTAGGGTGGGCACTTGGCTTGCTGGGGCCTTGGCCCAGAACAATGTGATGTCTGAAAGGGCCACTTGAGGGCTTGTTCCTCACATTCCATCCCCCTTAGCTTCAAAAGTCCGCTGAGATGCTTCATGCTGGTGCCTTCCCCTTCAGTCTTTTCTCATAATCGGCCACGATCTGAGGAGCTGTCTTGACAAGTTCCTCCCTTGAAATCCATCGATCTTCCTTCGGATCTGTATGATGCCTGAAATGTACTCTGTATTCCCTCGCAGGTTTGGGAGGTCTTCCCCTGCCAGGTGGCTTAGGAACAGGCGTATCTCTGTGATCCAGGATGTCGTCGACGTCCACGTGGCCATCCATGGTTGGGGGCAGCATAGATCTCCGTGATGGGAGCTGTGCTGTCTCAGCAAAAGGTGCAAGTTTGGAAGTGTGGAAAACAGGGTAAGTGCGTAAGTGACCAGGGATACGAATAACGTACGGGGGACCATCCAAATCATTCCCCACGATATCCAGGACTTCCCAGGGACCGAAATACTGTGGCATTAGTTTCCTAGAGATGCCAAACTCCTGTCCCAGTTCACTAGCCTCGACCCAGACACGTTCCCCTACCTGAAATGTGGACTGTCGACGACGCTTGTTCTCAGAAGCAATCATGACCTCCTGAGATTTCTTAATATGTTCGACAGTCTGCTGCAACAGTTTCTCATACTGGACACCAAATTCAATGGTTCCAGGAGTTGCAGCAGTTCGGTTTTCAGGCAGGAGGAAGTCTAGAGCGGATCTAGGCTTCCATCCGAGATGTAACTGATTAGGACTGACACCGATGGTGCTGTGTACAGCATTGTTGTACAGACTGGCGATGAGAGGCAACTTCTCATCCCAGTCATCCTGGCTGGGCTTGATGTAATGCCTCAGCAGATGCTGCACCACTCGGTTCATCTGTTCAGCCTGCCCATTTGCTTCGGGATGATTCCCAGAAGTCATATGAAGCTGGCTGCCCATCTGTTCAACGGTCTGTTTCCACATCTCACTAGTGAAACGGGCATCTCTATTACTAATGATAGTCTAAGGCAATCCAAAATCACGTACCCAGTTGTCCATGAACAACTTGATGACGTCCTCAGTCCTGGCAGTCTCTGGCATGGCGATTAGTCTAGCGTACTTAGTGAACCTATCCACTATGACAAAGATGTGCCTCTTGCCATTCTTGCTGGTCACAAGAGTATCCATGAAATCCATGGAGATACTCCGCCCTGGGCCAGCAGGAATGGGTAAAGGATTGAGTAACCCAAGTGGAGCTTGAGTCCGCGACTTATCCCGCTGACAGACCTGACAGGTCTCCACGTACTTCTTCACATCGTCAAGCATGTTGGGCCACCAGAACCGTTGTACTAAATTAGCACTCGTCTTCTTATAGCCGAAGTGTCCGATTGCGTCGTGGCACTCACCTAAAAATAAACTATGCAAAATCTCTCTAGATGGAACAACTAACCTCTTGAACCCTGCCTTCTCAAGAAAGAGCAACCCATCCACCATCACAAACTCACCAGTGGTGGCCGTGTCTTTAGCCTGTAGTTTGTTGATGATGTCCATCGTGATGGGATCTTCCTTGTAGGCTTCATCCAACGATTGAGTCACGTCCTCAGACAAACAGCGCACCTAGGTAGTCTGCCCTCCTAGACAATGCATCTGCAACCTTGTTGTACTCTCCCTTCAAATAGTGTAGTTTGAAATCATATTGATCTATGACTTCAATCCAGCGTTTGAGTCAATCAGAGAGAACTGGTTGAGTCTTGATCCACTTGAGTGTCTGATGGTCAGTTATCAAGTAAAAGAACCTTCCTAACAGGTAGTGCCTCCAGTGGACAAGTGCCTTGTAAAGAGCGTAGAGTTCCCTGTCGTAGGTGGACTTTGCCAACTTCTTTGAAGGCATCTTTTTGCTCATGTACTCGATCGGTCTCAACTTCTTCCCTTCCTGCTTAGCCAGCACTGCGCCAATCCCATATTGGCTTGCGTCAGTGGTTACAACGAACGGCCTTTGCGGGTCGGGTACCATGAGAACCTCATGATGCGTGAGAGCATGCTTCAAACGCTTGAAAGCTGCCTCACACTCGTCAGTCATGTCCCATGGTGTATCGAGTCGAGTTAGATCAGTCAAGGGAGATGTGATCGTGCTATAATTCTTTACGAAATTGCGGTAATAACCACGCATTCCCAAGAACGACCTGACCTTAGTCACTGGCTGGGGTCGTGGCCAGTAACGAATGCTAGCCACTTTCGCATCTTCGGGCCTAATTCCATCCGCGGATACCTCATGACCCAAGTACAAGATTTGTGTGCGACCAAACTCGCATTTCTCATAGTTTATCTTATACTTGTGCTGCCGAAGGAGTGAAAGTACTTTGTCTACATGCTGAGCATGCTCCTCGACAGATCTACTGAAGATAAGTATGTCGTCGAGGTACACGACAACAAACTTGTCCAAGTAGTCATGGAAGATCCTATTCATGGCGTGCTGAAATGTACCCGACGCATTGCAAAGGCCAAAGGGCATCACCACAAACTCGTACAGACCGTACCTGGTTTGAAATGCGGTTTTGTGCTGGTCCTCTGGTCTTATGGCAATCTGATGGTAGCCGGATTTTAAGTCTATCTTTGTGTAGTACTTACACCCCTGCACCCTATCCAGAAGGTCGTCGATGCGTGGTAGAGGCTCTGCGTTCTTAACGGTGATGGCATTGAGGCCTCTAGAATCAATGCACATCCTTAGTGTTCCCCCTTTCTTCGGAACAAACAATACTGGTGAGCCAAAGGGGGAAGTGCTAGGCCGGATCCAACCCTTCTCTGTGAGCTCTTTCAGTTGCCGCCGAAGTTCGTCCAACTCGGCTGGAGCCATCCTATAGATTCTACCGTTAGGTGTTTTACTTCCTGGGATAATCTCTATGGCATGGACAATCTCCCTGTCTACGACTCCTGTACGCTCCTCGAACAGATCTGGGTACTTGGCGACGATGGTCTCTATCTCTTGGGGTGTTTTAACGGCCTCCCCTTTTGCAGAGACATAGACTAAGTACATTCCTTCCTCGTGAATCTGTTTATAATAGTTATAGAAGGCAGACGCGCATAGGCACCCATAGGAGTCTATTAACCTACTGCCTTTGTACTTGGCCAGTCTCACGGTTCTCCCACTACGCAACTCGTGCTTCAAAACCTTCTTGTCCCAGTCAAACTGGGGCTTGGAAACCTCGAGGTAGTACATGCCCAATAACATGTCAAAGGGCAACTCGTCGCTCACCAGGAATGATATCTTATGGTTTATCTCTCCTCCTGGGTAGGAGAAAGTGCAGACTATATCTTTAACGTAGTCCTCCACCATCATGCGCTCTTTGTTGGCCAAAGTAGATGCTACCGGTCTACTAAGACGCTGCACCCGGTCCTTTAGGCACAGTCTGTCAACGCCGTCGCGACTTATGAAGTTTCGCGTGGAGCCAATGTCTACGAAGGCGCCGCACTTGCGTCCACCCACATCAACTTCCACAACGAAGTGCTCCCCTTTAGGACCTCTACTCAATGCCACCCAGGACTCACGAGGGTCCCTTGCCGACCACTCACCTTGAAGGTCCTCTAAGGCCTCAGACACATCCAACGTACAGAGTATAGTTGGGTCCGGATGCGTCTTCAGACCCTCTTGCAGCATGTCCCTCTTAGTGCCCACACACTCGATCCCCCACACTCCCACCACCCCAGCAACAAGCTCTGGCTCGGCACCACCATCTTTTTGACAGCACCCGTGCGATCCCCCGTTGCCCAAGCATCACCCCCGACGGCGCTGACGCTGAGACAGTGCAGTGACATCAACAAAAATTAGAAACGGGGGCCTTGCGCCCAACGCCCCGGCCAGCTAACGCAGCGCAGTAGCATGGCCCCTGCGCAAGGCGCTTGAAGTCCATCCCTCCCTCCAGGAATGAAGCAATCAATGCCATTGGCTCAAGGTACATTTGTTTTTTTTTTTGTTTTTTTTTCTTTTGTAGAAAAATAGAAAGGGTGTTAAACCACAAGTACACGGCCCCAGCCTTGCAGTCCGAAACTTGTCGCCACAAGAAAACGAGAGAGGCCGAAACGTCAAACGCCGGGCCCGCCGTTGATAAATTAGATCGACGATTGCAGTTTCGTTTCGTGCCTCCAGAATTTCAGGTGTCAGGCCCGCGGCCCAGGTTCCCATGTACTGGTGGGCTTTAACACTCTTAAGGCAGAGGGAGGGGGGGTCATAAACAGGCAGTACCCCTCCCAGATCGGCGCAGACAATGGCAGTACAATTTTTTCCACAGGCTGCAATGTTTTTTCGTTATACACACTCAAGCAGAAAGGGAGGATCTACGAAGGCTGGTATCAACTGGCCTTCTAGCTCAGTTGGTACACACCCCTAAATTGTCGAAATACGGACCGGCGTTCAAACTCCACTGGAAGCAGGTGGTTAAGAAAAGAAAGGATTTACAAAGGCTGGTTTGGGGCTTCTTCTTTGGAAAGGTGGTTAGTGGTAGAAAGGGACATGTTTTTGTTGCAAACGGTTAAGCTCAACTGGGAGTCGATCCTTCTCAGGGATCCCCGGGCCGTAACGTGGGGACACATTGAGTTCAAACTTCAAATCTTATTTGAAGTTATTTCGTTCCAGGGACGCTGGGCCCGGCTCCCAGCAGGTGTTGCCCCCCACCTATAGAAAGGAGCATGATTTTTCTTTTGGGGGGGTTAGGGTGGGTTTGGGGGGAGGGCGGGGCGGGGGCGGGGGCGGAGGGTAACGAATGGTAATTTGAAGTTTGAACTAATTTCAGATTGCTTGAAAGCCTGCAAGTTCTGCAACATCACTCTCGAGTCTCCACTGACTGTCTAGTTGAAGCTAAGATCTCATGGTTATGAGACTTACTGGGCCGTGGCATTGTAAATACTAAAAAACAAATAAAAAAGTTAAAACTTAAAACTTAAAAGTAAACAAAAAAAAAAGCAAAAAAAAAAAAAAAAA